CGGGCAGGGGTCGGGGGGGGGGGTCAGCGGGGGGCCAGGGCGCTCACCTAGTGTCCGGAACTAGGCCATGAGGAACAGCTGTGGCTCCAGTCCGAAAAAGCAGGCAGTGGTAAGCAAGCAGAAGCTCACAGTCGGCTGGGCCCGTCGGCCCCCTCTGCTCCGGCCTGGGGATCTCGTGGAGTGCCCACGGATTTAGATTCAGAGAACAGCTCCTCCGTCCCCTCTCCCCGCCCGTCGACGTCGCACACCCGCCTTCCCCCTAGTTCTGAGGCTGCCAATTTTATGCGGCCACACGGGACCCTCCCAGGGCATTTCCCCCAAGCCTGGCCCAAAGTCACAATGAGAGCAGAGAGGCCGTAACCAGACACCGAAGCTGGGAGAGGAGGAGGGGTGTGAGGACGGGGAAAGACAGTGGGGGTAGGGGTGGTTGGAAAGCTCAGTGTTGGCTGAACGGCGAGGCCCTGTGCCATCTGACTTCACAGACCCTGGGGTAGGCTAGAGCAGCTGCTTAATGTGGAGGCGGTAGAAACCGGTGCAAAATTATTTTATGTCGATGTCTGGATGCTCCTGGAGGGCAGGGCCAACCAACGTCGTCTCCCCGAAGCCTACAGCCGGCTTCCCGGGGGCAACTGCAGGCTTGCCCACCCGGTGTCCCCACCGAGGCGCGGACCAGAGACTCGGCGCTTACATCTGCCTTCCCACACCTGGCCTCTTTCTCCCTCCCCACATCCGGCAGGTGCTTCAACCCGCGGATGAGCCGGGTGATTAGAGGTCGGAGCCGACTAGCGGCCGCAGGAAGGGGCGGGCGGGGCCCCTCCCGGATGGGCGTCGCTCCAGGTCAGGATTACAGGTTATGCTTGCGAGGCTGGCAGGGCCGGAGGCATTCAGTCTCGCGGCCGCCACCAGCGCCACCGTGGCACTTTGGGCTGGGGGAGGGGACGAGAGCATTCCTGGGGGCCCGCCCGCCAAACCCGGGTCCTCCAGGCCCCGCCCCGGCTTGCTCGGAGTGGCTTACAGAAGTGGCCGCGTTGGACTCAAAGTTTACAGGGAGCGCAAACCGTGGTTTGCAATCAGGGAGGGGGCGGTACTTAGGCTCCGCCCAGAAGGCGTGGACCGCCCAGCAGGATCGGCTCCGCATGCGCATTGGAGCCCCGGAGACTCAAGCACCGGGGGTCAGCCGGGGACGTTCCCGCAGGAGCGTACTTGAACTTGGCCAAGCCCTTTCACCTAGGGGTTCCCGAGCCGCGCAGAAGCCGCTCTCGGCCAGAGGGGTTACGATGAGGTGAGAGCAAATACACCGTTACCCAGGTCTCGAACTTAAGAGGGACGTGGAGCTAATTTCACGCGAGGTCTCGCAACTGTCGCGAGATTCAGAACAGGAAATCTAGGAATTCAGAACAGGAAAAGCCCGCGGGTTTTAAACTGGAAAAAGAATAGGCGGAGCCAGCTGTGCCTGATACAGTAATTGTGAGCAATCCCTTGTCCTTGGCCTTGAGGGCAACTGAAATGTCGGCCTGGAGCAGAAGTGAACTGTCGGAGAACCGCCAAGAAGCCCTGGAAAAGGCTGTCAAGGAGGACTTGCGGAGCTGATGAATGGAGCCACCCAAGGGGAGGTCCCTGGCTCTGACAAAACACTTTGGGGACGGAGATCGTTGTCCGGGATACCGAAAGGAAGCAGTCCCGGATCTCTTAATGAATTGCTACGGGCTTCTAAAACCTGGGGCCGGTATTTCGACAACAAACTCCACGGAACCATAAACTTCTCTTATCCCACTTTATTGTAGCCTGTTGTTTACGTTCAGTCTTTGCTATGCTCTGAAAAACCTGGGGCCGGTATTTCGACAACAAACTCCACGGAACCATAAACTTCTCTTATCCCACTATTGTAGCCTGTTGTTTACGTTCAGTCTTTGCTATGCTCTGAACCTCTGGTGGTAGGACTCGTGCCTAACTCATCACTTTATCTTGTGAACCTAGTCCCGCACCTGGCGGCACAGTAAATTGTTGGTAAATATTGTGGATTGAATGTGAAAGACTTTTTCTGAGTCGCTAATGGAGATTAGATAGGGAACGAGTGCCCTCTGGTGGGCTTGCATCTGGTGACGACAACGTGACCGTGCATACAGTAGGCACCAGAGTTGTTGACTATACTTTTGGGTAGAGATTTTGTTCCAGGAAAACGCCATATATTGTAAAAAAAAAAATTTTTTTTTTCTAAAAAGGGAGTTTGTGTAAGATACAATTTGAAAGTCTAGATATGTTCCCAGATCCTCATCATCTGATGCTCTATCCATTAAGACTGCAAGACACGTTCAGTAACATCTATGTTTATCATAAGTAGTAAAGAAATAGCAAAATATTTTGCATATTTATTCTTCGAAAATGCTGACTCGGTTTGATCGGATTCGTGCAAAACTGTTGGGCCAAAGGAAAAGAATTCTCCAGTCCATAAGGTGTGAGTACTGCATGGAGAGAAGCCAGGTGGCAGCATCCTTTGTATCTATAGTAGGGAAACTCGATTCAGATGAAGAAAGTGAAGTTAAATTTGTTGAAGAATAAATGGTCCCACCACTTTTTCCCCCTTTACTGCAGATGCTTGTACTGAAGAAGGAATGAGGTACAGAATGTGGTTTGTTTTCCCCTGTGAATCATAGCCTGGAGTTCACAAATTATCATACTTTCACTTTCTTTCAGTTACTGACCCATGAAATAACTGTGAAATGTAATGACAATGAAAAGGGCCCTGTACAAATGAACAACATAAGATGAAACAAGGCATAAAGAGTCAGTGTGTAACTTGGTAAAAAATCATACGGGAGGACCCACATATTCTAACCTGTCACCTCATGAGACCTGTTTGACTTAGCTGATGAAAATAGTGGGGTTGTAACTTCAAGGAAGAAGCAGAAGTAAAACAGATGGTCCATATTGGCCTATTAGAGATGGATACACAGAGGCATAGATTCCTGTGCATATTAGAATCAGTTAAATAAAAAAAAGGCTCAACATAGATAATTGAGATGGAATACTTTGCAGCTACCTGCTATGACAAATAGGTGAACTCAAAGTGAAAAATATGTATAGGAAACAGTGAAAAATGCATGTAGGAAAATAAGGTTAAAAGAAGAGAAATACGAGGGTACTTTTAAAAGTTCATGAAAAAATGGAATTAAAAGATAAAACAAATCTTTCCATGAACTTTTTGAAGTACCCTTGAATATGGATACTGATCACAACTGTGTAAATATTTATCATATATATCATGAATAAACACCCTCAGAGAATTTGGAGTGAGACTGAGTAGTGGCTGAGTGTAATGATCACTATTTATTTTGTAAAACTGTTTTTCATAATTAAAAAGTAGAGGCCATTTTTATAGATAAAATATCGAGATAAAGTAGTAAGTTGGGACAGCCAGGTAGGAAGATAAACATTGTAATACAACTACAAGTAATGTTACAAAACTAAGGCTAGCATAGCCAGGAACTGGCTCTCTGGAATAACTAGGCATTAAGGCAAGCTGAATGAGCTTTAAGACAAACATAAAGAAATCAGGTCAAAGATTTCCCCAGTTTACCTTTCTTCCTATATCTCAGGAGGCAACTCCTCCCCCGACGTGCAGTATCCCATCCACCTTTGAGATGGAGACTGAAGCTCCACCTAACCTGATGACTTGGCCAAATTTTGTATAATGTTTACATCACTCTATATGTAGACTTTCTACATTTCTTATTCTTTTTGTTTTTAGCTTTTTTCCATTATGAGGTATAACAGACAAGCAGAAAAGTGCACAAAATAGATATATAGCTCAGTTAATTATTACAAAATGAACACTCGTAATCATCATGCAGATCAAGAAATAGGAAGCTGCTAACACCCCCAGATTCCCCCATCAAGCCCCCCAATCATCATTTCTTCTCTTCTCCTACATAACCACTTTTTTTTTCTACATAACCATTTCTAACTCTATACTTTAATTGTACCTGGTTTTGACATTTATATAAATTGAGACATGCCTAGGAGTGGAATTACTGCTTCATGTGATGTGCATACATTAAATATTGGTAGATATTACCAAATGCTTTTTCCAAAGTGATTGTATCACTTTATGTAGTCACCAGTATTTTATGAGAATTCACATTATGCCACATTCTTGTCAACACTTGGTATTGTCAGTCTTTAATTTCAGTCATTAGGTAAAAATTTTAGAGTCTAAGATTTTAAGATGGCCAGTTCTGCAAGGGTTTTCTCCCTTAGATTAAAAACACACACATCTTGGGCCGGCCCTTGGCTCACTCAGGAGAGTGCGGTGCTGATGGCACGAAGGCCCCGGGTTCGGATCCCATATAGGGATGGCCGGTTCGCTCACTGGCTGAGCGTGGTGCTGACAACACCAAGTCAAGGGTTAAGATCCCCTTACCGGTCATCTTTAAAAAATACACACACACACACACACACACACACATCTATTATTTTGAAATAAGGTTAGAGTTTCACAGAGTTGCAAAAATAGCACAGAAACTTCTGACGTACTTCACCCAGCCTTCCCCACTGATAACATCATATAAAACCATAGTATAATTATTGAAACCAGGAAGTTGGCATTATTTCAGTACTATTAACTAAACTGTGGAACTTATTCATATTTCACAGGCTTTTACATAACTCGTGTGTGTGTGTGCATAATTGAAATTTTATCACATGTATATGTTTATATAACCATGAGGTGAGTAAATGGGTTTTCTGGGGTATGACAAACTAGAGCTAGTAGAATCTATAATACTAGACAAAATGTCATTTAATGTATATGTTGCTTTTAAATTAGTATTATTAAAAGTCAGTGATGAGAAAGGCAGCTAGTTGTTGTAGCTAAACACTCACTCATTTACACACTCCACATCTACCTGTTAGGGAAGCTGTGGGCATGGGTAGCGTCCCAGGGTCACTGATTGAAGTCCACGTTTCATTATAGCACACTCAGAAGGAAAAATTTGGTCTCATCTCACATCCACTTTTTACTTGGAGACAATTTTCTGTGAGGCCAATGAGCTTTCTGCTGGCAACTCTACAGTGATTCCTCATTCTTTCCACCAGATTCCCACATTTCCATCTCTGTCTCAGATCTTTCTCCTTAGCATCACTCCAGCATATCCAAACTGTTTAATCCACTTCTAGTATTTTCTTTCAAGCAGCCAGGGAAAAAAGCCATAGGCAGCTCCAGCCTGCATCATACTTATGGTTCCCAGAAAAAGCATCAGTATATCCAATCTCAGGGAAATCTTTTTACTGATTCTGCTTGGGTGATGTGTTCAACAAGAAT